TATATATATATATATAAATACACACACGTTATGTTTATACATTTAAAATATTTATATGCAATATCAATTATATTAATATAAATATATACATGGAAATTTTCTCAAAATATATACTGTATGTGATGTGTTTGTATTTATATATACATAATAAATATATACAGTATACACATATGTTATGTAAACAAAACTTTTATTTTGGATGCGATTAATTGTTTGACAGCACTAATATATCTATATATATATATATATATATATATATATTCATGCTGTCAAACGATTAATTGCATATATATAGATATATATATATATATCACAGTATTACTGTTTTTTACTGTGTTTTTGATAAATGCAGCCATGGTGAGAGACTTCTTTAAAAAAAAAATCTTACTGAACTTTTTGATCGGTAGTGTATATCTGTAAAGTATTTTAACATTGAGCATTCAAGTACATCCCATTTAAACCAAATAGCAATGTGCATTTAATAGCTACTGAAATAAAAAGCAGAGGCAGTGACTCTCCCTTCATTCTTCATTCTGTAGTTCATCAAAACTACGTGGGGACAGATGCAGAGAAGAATCCCTTCTTCCTGTCTGTGGTTCTGTCAGACCAGAACAACCAGAGGGTCCCACAGTATCGAGCCATCCTGTGGCGCAAGATGGTGAGTCAGCCAGTGACAGGTAACAACATGTGTGTGCGTCACTTTTGCTCTGTGCAGTGACTCACATAACAGATTGACCTCTTCATGAAGCGACTCTACATTGTTTGGCTCTGTTGTCTCAAAGGTATTAAATGTCACTTTCCTATGAGCAACAAGTTCTCAGTTATAAAACCCTGTGTCGTAGCCTCCAGCAATACTGGCTTGCTGTCATGTTATTATGCCATGTCATATTTCGCTTCATATTCGTATAATTTGCGAAATGTGTCCTTCTCCTTTAGGGTACTCTAAAAATCAGCCTTCCATACAGTCCAACAAAAACACTATCAGTCAAATCTATATTAAGGTAAGTCTGTTTATAATGCATCCTGCTTGCCAATTAACAAATGCACATGTGAAAATTTAATTTGAGTGAAATAGATTAAAATGCGTTGCATTCATGTGACCTTTTTGCCCTCCAGTGCCATGAACGTGGATCGTTTTGAAAAGGGCCCAAGGGAAATCCTTAACCCAGAGATTCAGAAGGTGCCCACCCACACCTGTCAATCAACATCACATGTTGTCTGCTCTGTTAATTACTGTCTGTTTCTGCTCTGGTTTGTTGTTCTGCTTCATAATCATTCAAACGCAGGCGCTGTGTGAGCTGCTATTGCTCCCGAGAGCTTTGCCTTTGTGGAAATGTGTGCCACTAATCAAAGGCCATTGTCAGCAGCATTCAGATATTTGAATGCATGAACACGCTCTCTGTAATGTTTGTGTAACCCACACTATTAGTGCTCCTAACTGGTGTTTAGAAATTTAACCTCGTTTAACTGAATTATTTATTGTACTGAGATATAATTCATTTTTTTAACTGTTTTTTTTTTTTTTATTGTTGGCAGGACTTACTGGTGCTGGAGGAACAAGAGGTGTGTACTGTCAAATGTGTGTATGTGTTTGATTTTTGTATGCAGTGCGAATAAATGACCTTCTTAATGATTTCTGTATCAGTTTGTTAATGAATTCCTAATGTATGCTCATCACATATGTTTGTATGTTCTCACAGGGCAGTGTAAACTTTAAATTTGGTGTTCTTTATGCCAAAGATGGACAATTGACAGATGATGAAATGTTCAGCAATGGTGAGCACAGAACCACTCCTAATATGCTCATAATACTAAATATTTTGTTTGTTCCCTTTCTACTGTCAATATTTGTGCTATATATGCACACTGTTAAATAATAATTACCAATAGCCAAATAGATGTGATTCTATAGATTCTATTTGAATGTTGTTTCAATCAGAAATATTCCATATTAAGAATGTACAATGCAATTAATTATAATTCACATTCATTTTAGAATATGCATGTGAACTGCATAAGGTGGCTCCCTTGATGTTTGTTACATTTATTAATGCTCTGTGTTCATGTTGGTTTTGTATTTCCTTTTTCTTTTACTTTTTCACTTCCCCCCCCCCCAGAATCAGGAAGTGAGAATTTTAATATATTTCTGAATCTCCTTGGTGACACGATCTGTCTGCAGGGCTGGGCAGGGTATCGAGGAGGACTGGACACTAAGAGTAGGACAAAAAAAAAACACGTCTTTACAGATCAACAGAGGAATTTTTTTTCCTTTCAAGTGAATTTTTTTCTTATTCATGTTCTCTCTTTATCTGTTTAGACGACACTACAGGAATAAATTCTATCTACACAGTCTATCAGGGTCATGAGCTCATGTTCCATGTTTCCACCATGTTACCTTATTCTAAAGAGAACAAGCAACAGGTAAGATAAAGAACACATAAGCTATAAGATGCACAGTATATTTGTACCATATTGTTTATTTTTATTTTTATTTTTATTTACACTACCATTCAAAAGTTTGGGGTCTTTTATTGTCCATTATGTTGTGCCTAAATTCACTTGTCGCATTTAAAATGACAAATTTTACTTTTTAATGTTTTGATTTGAATTTATTTAGACAATATAGTACAGAGTTTTAATATGTCATTTACCAACCATGACAATATTTATCAAGTTTTCGTATTATCAGTATCATTATCAGCCCATTCCCAATATGAGTACTATCCAAACGGGATTTTCAAAAACCAGTTGTATCTGAATAAGACTTTAGACACACACATACACACACACACACAAAGAAACACATCCAAGTAAAACTATAAACAGAATAAGAGAAAGACAAATAGAGAGCAGAGGACACAGACAGAGAGGAGGAATGAAAGATACATTTGAATGATAGCAAAAGAGAAGGGAGCTGCGTGTGTTTGTTGAGGCAGAAAGGAGGCAGTCTGTAGCTCAGTAGGTGGTGAGTGGAAAACAGGCTATATTTAACATCCAAAAGCGCTGGACATCACAGCGGTCAGTCTCTCCCTCTCTTTTCTCTGCTGCCTTTCCCCCTTCCCCCCTCAGCTCCATATCCTGATTACATCAAGCGTCAATCACTTCACTCTCTCTCACTTCATATCTCTCTCTTCTCTTGATTATATCACACACAGCAATCCATCTTTCTTTCTCTCTCTCTCTCTCTCTCTCTCGCTCTCTCCCTTTCTGTTTCTCACTTTTTCTATCAGATCATATGTCTGATTGAGTACAAGTAGTGCTCTTGTGCACTGGAGTGCTTGTGGAAACATTGACAATAGCAGGATTTTCAAAGTATTTGTGTCGGTTCAAGGTCTTGGCACTCTACAGCCGAGAGCCTCTTCAGCCCTTCGTGTCAATAACCACCTTTTTACCAATGCTGAACCGCTCATGAAAAGAGTAGGAAAGCTGATGCGCTCCAAAAGTCTCTTGCCGACCCCTAAAAGCATGCAGACAAACCAAACAGTCGGAAGACTCAGAAATCAAGTAGAGTTCACAAGGGAGAGCAAGTCTTTTCTTGAAAGAAAACTCTTTTTAAAGGGAGAGTTCACACACACGGAAATTCAGTTATCATTTTCTCACCCTCATGTTTTCCAAACCCAAATGAGTTTCAAATGAGTGGAACACAAAAGAAGAACCTTTACAGTTATTTTCCATCAAGGACAGTTCATAGTAACTGCATCTGTCAAGCTACAAACAGAAACTACAAACATTTTTGAATGTGTAAATAGCTGTAAATCATGCAATATTTAAGTCGTTATTTACTGATTCAAAAATGTTGCATTGTTGCGTTTCTGTTCAAGTTGCAAAATGTAATTATGCAAATTAATTAACATTTCAAAAAACTATTTGGGCATGAAGCAAGGAGTTTCCATCCCATGTGTTCAATGGAACATAATCATCACTCAGTAACCTGTGCTATGAAATCGACTTATATTGTTGAGGCTTTTGTTAAAGCAAAGCCAAATAATTGTTTTTAGGTCATTTTATTCTCAATTTTAGAAATTTTATACATGTTACTGACAACAATTCCACTGTGGAATGAACAACATATGGGTTTGGGAAAACATGAGGCGTTTTTGGAGTTAACTGACTGATCCTAGAAGGCTCATCCCTGCTTGTCAGATGCTAGAAACATGTAAGAGAGTCAGTCATGTTGGCAGGGCCGTTTCTAGCCAATTTGACGCCCTAGGCGAAATCCCTATTGCCCCCCCGCCCCAAATTATCAGAATCAGAAAGAATCAGAAAGAGCTTTATTGCCAAGTTGATTGTGAGCTGCCAATAAAAAATGAATAAGAAGAAGAAGAAGAATGAATTGATTCAGCATTTCGACACCTCCGTAAGGATGCATTTAACTCGACAAAGCGGTCTAATAAAGGATGCACTGACAGAGCCCACTGATCTAACGGCGTTGTTGAGCGCTCCAAATGCAAACTTTGCATGCAACAATCAGGCAGCAATTGACAGCACTCTGATCTAGTGGCATACAGGCATCGTCAGATTGACAGTACTCAAGCCCAATAATGTTGGGGGATCCAGTGGGGGCGGCAGTCATATTTCAGGGTGACCATGCCACTCTTTATCGCAACCCTGCTAAAAGTGCCAGTATGTGCGCTCATTGGCGCCCCTTCAGCTGGTGGCACCCTAGGCGACCGCCTAGCTCGCCTATGCCTAGAAACGGCCCTGCATGTTGGTGTTGTTCAAGTGTTAAATGGTATGTCACTGGAAGTATGCTCTTGTGTAAGGAAGAGGGGAAGTGGCAGAGAATCATAATTGAGCTCTCAGTAGAAATGAATCTGTCGCTGCAATAAGTAAATACGCATTCCTGTCGCAGCTCACGGTCATGCGCATGTATTTGTGTCTGGATGCGTGTGTTTGTGTGTGTGAGAGAGAAAGAGAATGAGAGAGATATTAGCTGGTGGAGAGGGGCAGGTGAAATGCAGCCATGTAGTAATTGAGCTTTAAGGGAATGTTTTATATGTGTGTGTGCTCTTGAGATAAAAGATAAAAGCTCCTTTCCGACCGTAATGGTGCAGACTCATTAACAAGCTCAATTATGCTTTCTGGCTAACAGGCTTGAGGTGTCAGAGGTCATATAGCAGCTTTTGAATGTCCACACATGCACACGGACCAACAAACCCACACACATAGGCATGTGCTCTTTTCAAAATGAAACATTTGTCCATCATTTGTTCAGACTGGAGAGAAAAATGTTGGTGTAATAGTTTCAGGTAACAAAAGCAGCCTTTTAAAATGTGTTTCATGAATGCATGATTATAGCTTTCATTATTTCAATCTGTGCAGGTAGAGAGGAAGAGACATATTGGGAACGACATTGTGACCATTGTGTTTCAGGAGGGAGATGACGCCTCTCCGTCCTTCAAACCCTCTATGATTCGCTCCCATTTCACACGTATCCTTCATCCTCAAGCTGAGTGGAAATGATGAAATGAGTCACTCAATGACAGCAATTAGGCTATTTATGGGTGATTTTATTTTTTACAAGACAATGATTAAAAATACATCAAGCAATTGTATAATTTCTTTTACATAAACCACAGATATTTTTGCCTTAGTTCGATATAATAGCCAGAATGATAGTTACAGGTTTGTGTGTATATTTGAGGTTTTACTTTTTATGCATAGCATATGTTAAAGGCACAATATGTAATTTTTGCCGCTAGAGGGCGCGTATTCAAAATAAACAAATAGACAAAGGTGTAGTTTGATGACTCTGTGACTGAGTGTGGAATCATGGGAGTTGTCGTCTTCATCCCCACAGCCGATGCAATCTGACGGGATTCCGGCAGAAATCATGTTCATGGATGAGCTAATGATTTATTAACGTAGTAGAATGAAGCAGGGTGAGGCTGAAAGCCGTCGAAGCGAAACGAGGCAGCTGAACGAGCGTGACACACAGCTCGAAAGCAGCGGAGCTTTTATTATGCCACAGTCGACCGCTTCCGCTCCTTCCAGTTGTGCGTATGTGGGGGAAAAAAGCAGCGCTGTTTTATCATACTAAATACATTTGAAAGTTCTGTTATAATGCTACTCTGTGCGGTCGTCACGGGTCTATTAAAACGCACAACATATTAAAGCGTCTTTGGTGTTTCCATGTTTTCTACAAAACAAAACCGAAAATCGAGGGGTTATGACGTCATTGGCAGACGACACAATGACACTATGGACACGGTCCGTGTCACTAGTTAAAATTGCTTATTTCTCTGGATTTAAACATTCTTCCAAACATTTGGGATAATGGAAGTACACAAGTCAGCAAAATATATAACACTGTTCTAGTGGTTTTTGGATATTTTAATAAAAAAATCTTACATATTGTGCCTTTAAATGTTGTTTTAATAATACATTAAATATTATTAGATTGTATATACACTACTGTTCAAAAGATTTTTTAGATTAAATTAATACTTTTATTCCACTAGGGTGCATTAATTTGATCAAAAACTAAAGTAAGGACGTTTTGAGTGTTACAAAAATTTCCATTTCAAATCATTCCTGTTCTTTTGACCATTCTCTTCATCAAAGAATCCTTAACAATATAATATGAGCTCTAATATTAAGCAGCACAACTGTTTTCAAAGTTGATCATATCTGCATATTAGAATGATTTCTGAAGGATCATGTGACACTGAAGATGTAATAGCTGCTGAAAATTCAGCTTTGTCTTCAAAGGAACAAATTACATTTTAAATTATATTTAAATAGGAAACAGATATTTTACATTATAATAATATTTTAGACTTCAAAAACATAAAAAAACTACTTTGAATGCTAGTGTATATTATTTGTATCTTAATCATTTTGTTTTGTTGCAGGTTGAAGATTTTCTCAGAGGAGAGCGTGCCGCTGTTTGGCCCACCGCTCCCTTCCCCTCCAGTGTTCACAGACCACCAGGAGTTCAGGGACTTTTTACTAGTTAAATGTTAGTAAATTCACCAGTACATAAAGTTTATAATCTTTCACCAAAATACAGTATAACAACTTTCCCCTGAAACATCACTTTTCTGCTGATGTAACCAAGCCTGTGAATACCAGCCATATCACAGCCTATTAATAATAATTTAAGCCATAAAATCTAAGACTACTATTTCATGTCCCAGTCAAAATAGATTACATAATTTTAAATGCATTCCAAATGTCATTTCATGTTGTCTGCTTCACACAGACCTCCTGTTAGAATATACACCTGTGTTTTTCTGTTGCCAGCTTTAATGGTTTGTTTTGGCTCATGAACTCAGTAAAGCAGATGCTTTCATTAAACAGACCTTGTAAAATGAGTCATGCTGTTTCTTACGGGTAATTCTGTTACATAATACTGCTACCTTTATCCTTCTGTCTCCTATAGTAATAAATGGAGAAAAAGCCACTCTCGAGACCCCCACTTTTGCTCAGAAACGTCAGCGCACACTGGACATGCTGATCAGATCCTTGTACCAGGATCTCATGCCTGACATGCCCAAGGTATGAACACATAGTGTTTCTCAATCAGGGGGCGGGGCCTACTAGGGGGCCTCAGCAAACTGCCAAGGGGGCCTCAAAATTAAAATAAGCCAAAAGAACTAAAAATTAAGATATCTCTTACTTTAATTCACCTCTAAACAACTGTTTTTTTTTTCTTTTGAAGAATCAGCGTTCCCATTGTCTTGATATATATGAGGAAAACTGATATATATGAGGAAGCCAAATTTTAATAGTGTGATTCCTAGACCTGAAAATGCAATTTTTTCATAATGAATGCATATTTTTCTAGTTATGCCAAGCTCTAAAAAATTTTTTTTTTAGTACATTTTGAGTAAATTATACATTTAAAAAAAATCCCTATCTAGTAAATTACAAATGACTGACAGAGTCATGGGGCCTTCAAATACTATTGTGGACAAAGAAGGGCCTTGGATTCAAAAAGGTTGAAAAGCACTGATATAGCTCAATACTTTTCTGTATTTCACTATGTTTATCCTCAGACTTTTACCTCATTTCCTTTTCTGACATATATTTTCAGATGTTTTGCACTGTTTCTTCGCACAGTTCTATTTACACCACTCTTCCAAACCACTGAGCTTTCAAATACACTTTCATTCTGTTGCAGCCCCCTGTCAGTTGCCACTAGAAATGGACACTGTCTTTTTATTGTTGTCTGTTACTGTTCCTGTTTTAGGGTTCTTCTATTCTTCATTTACTAGAGTTGGGAATCAAGAACCAGTTCCATTTATTTTAATGAAAGAGTAATATTTTTACTAAACAATACAAAGACTTACTGTCTTTGTATTGTTTAGTTAAAATCTTACTTTCATCTTACTCTGACAGTAAACCTTTCTGTTGCTCTCATATGCAGCAAGAAAACAGTTCAACTGATAACTTTTGTTAACAAATGAATCTTTTGAATCAGTTCTTTATCAAAAAGACTCATAAATGAGTGTTCTATAGTAGAATCAGAATTTGAACCATCATTATTTGATTCTTAACTCTATCTATGATGGCTGGTAAGGTACAGTGGTGTAAGAATTTGTTAGTTTCTGCTTTGCTCTGTCTTTCTGTCTGTTTCTGGGTCAGTCTCTCAGACCCATCTTTATCTGTACTGCTCCTGTAGGTTCCCTTCTCTCCGCAGAACATGCTGAACCGACGCTCATTCAGCGACGTACTGCCAGAGTCACCCAAATCCGCCCGTAAAAAAGAAGAGGCACGCCAGGCTGAGTTTGTTCGAGTGGGACAGGTAGGATGTAGAAATACGAATAAAATATAAAGATATGGCATGAAAGACAATGTCACAATATGAGTAATGTCATTAATAGATATAATATTGCGTCCAGGCCTTGAAGCTGAAAACTATAGTTCGAGGGGATGCACCCACCAGTTTAGTCACTACTGGTCTTTGCAGGAAAGAGGTGAGAGGGCAAGAGGAAAGTTAGATGGATGCTGTTATTTTGCTTTCGGTTCATCTCTAACTGTGTGTTGCCATGTTCTCTGCAGCCATGGGAGTCACAGTCATTCTGCAGTAGCTTCCCGTATGATATAGTCTGTGGAGATTCGTGGGGACAGTCATTACTGGTCGCCACAGATTCAGCAGGGGTCATGCTGCTGGAGGGTGAGAATGCTTTTTCATGAGAAACAATACAACTGGACAGAGGAGCAGTTTTCTTACAAATGACATGTACTGAATGTAACTTTGACCAGGTTTTTTTGATGGATTGTATTAATGGACATTGAGTTCATTTGAGAGTTCATTTCAATAATCATTACATTAAAAAGGACAGTTGGATTACAAAAAGAAACTTTGATGCTGCTTTTTCCATACAATAAAAAGGAACAATGAGAAGAGGCTGTCAAGCTTACAAACTGACAAAATGCACAAAAATACTAGTGCCGACAATAACTTTTTTTTTTATGTCTGTGGAAAAAAGAAAATCACAAAGGGTTGGAACGTGAGGATGAGAAAATGAAATAAACACTACCATTCAAAAGAGGGTCTGTAAGATTTTAAATGTTTTTGACAGAACTCTCTTATGCTCACTCGGGCTGCATTTATTTGATCAAAAATACAGTAAAAACAGGATTATGAAATATTATTATAATTTAAAATAAGAGTTTTCTGTTTTAATGTTTTAAAATGTAATTTATTCCTGTGATAGCAAAGCTGAACAGTCTTCAGACTCTTCAGAAATCTTTTTAATATTCTAATATGTTGTGCTGCTTAATATTTTTATGGAAACAATGCTTTAGGATTTTAGCCTTCAATGAATAATCCATATTTTAGGATTCTTCCAAAAAACAGCCTTTATTTACATTTTGTAACAGTATAAATCACTTTAATTGCACTCTTGATCAATTTAATGTGTCCTTCCTGAATAAGGAAGTATTAAATTCTTTAAAAAAAATAATAATAATACTGGCCCCAGACTTTTGAATGGTAGTGTTCAAGGCACTTTCTTGTTTTTGTTTTTTTTTACTAAAAAAAATGAAATTTGATTACCTCTATCTTCCCTTTTAGCCTCAGATCCACTGTTCTCCAATGCAGGTATGTAAAGCAAAACCACTACACTACAGAAGAAACAAATGCGTATAAATATTACAAAGAGTTTATCCCAGTACGTTTTTTTTACAGTGATAGTTATCAAATGTGTCTGTTAATCAAAGCAAGCAAATCTCTTTGGGGGATTGAGTTACCATGCAGACCACAAACTAATCTTGCTTTGCATGCTGATCTAGATTCACCAACCCTGCCTCCGGTGCAGGTATTTGACAAAACCTTGACTGTCAAACAAATGCACGTGCTTGAACCTCAGGACCTCCTCATTGCAAGAGCAGATAAGGGTAAGATGTGTGTTGTTTTTCTATTTACATGAGCATATGAATATGAGACAATTCGTATGTGGGTAGAAGAAAGGGTGTGAAATGATCTGCCAGAAGAGAGACAGCGTGAGAAAGAAAGAGACCAAAGCAAAGCGGCGAAGGAAACTCTAGGTCTTTGCTCTAATGAGCATCTTTAGCCAACAGGGAATAGCACAAAATAGTATCTCAAACACACACACATGCGGGCAGCATCTCTGGTTCGCATTGTCTAGACTTATAGCTCATTATAAAGAGAAGCACGGACTAGGGATCCATGTAATTTAGAGTCTATTCTATTCTGATCATTAGTTCAAGACGGTGTACAGCAAACTCTCACTCTTATTGGAAAGCACAGCTTCTCCAGAGGGAAAATAATGAATTGGTTATCAACTCGGTCACCAAGCAACTTTCATTCACTACGACAGGCATTTGAAAACCAAACATGTTGCATTAGCTGAGATGTCATTCAGTTTGATGAGACGGGTCTCTCATTTGTTGCCAGCCAGTTATCATATAGTTACGGTTCTGAAAGCTGTTGTTTGTAGAATTCACTAAACAGCTAAAGTAATTACACTCATTTGAATATTCAAACTGAACCAGAGTGCTTGAGTCTTTACATCAAATTAAGCTTTAATTCCAATTGCTTTATATCCAATTTCGACTGTGTTGCAGGGAAAGATGCTCGACTGTATGTTTACAGACTGAGCTCTCTCAAACGCGGGATAGAGGAGCGGCAGCTTGTCCGCACCAAGTGTGACAGTCGAGAGAACAAGCTTGAGAAAACCAAAGGTACGAAAGAAGAACTTTAGTCATCACCCACACAAATATTTGAAATGATTTCAAAGCTGACAATATTATTTAAACTCTAAATATGAGTGTTGGTGAAGCAACATTCTGCAATTTAAATTTTCTAATTCAAAGTAGTTAAAAGGATAGTTCACCAAAAAATTAAAATTCTGTCATTAATTACTTTGCCTAATGCCGTTTCAAACCCGTAAGACCTTTGTTCATCTTCGGAACACAAATTAAGATATTTTTTATGAAATCCGATAGCTTTCTGACCCTGCATAGACAGTAACAACTGAAACGTTCAAAGCCCAGAAAGGTAGCATGGACATCGTTAAAATAGTCCATGTGACATCAGTGGTTCAACCTTAATTTAAGAAGCTATGAGAATACTTTTTGTATGCAAAGAAAACAAAAAATAACAACTTTAATATTAAAATTACGATTGAACCACTGATGTCACATGAACTATTTTAATGATGTCCTTACTACCTTTCTGGGCCTTGAACGTGGGAGTTCTGCGGTCTCTGCAGGGTCAAAAAGATCTCGGATTTGATCAAAAATATCTTCATTTGTGTTCCGAAGATGATCAAAGGTCTTGCGGGTTTGGAACGACATTAGGGTGAGTAATTAATGACGGAATTTTCATTTTTGGGTGAACGATCCCTATAAGCTTATTAAAGCTATGCTGTCTATTTGACAAATTTGAAGTTTCTTGAAGAATTTAATAATTAGCTAATAAATTAGATGATTTCCAAGATCATCGCAGTCAAGTAACAGAAATGTGTTTCCTCAGGCTGCCATCTCTACTCCATAAACACGCATCATGGGGTGGAGCTCAGAATCGTTGCGGCGATAAGAAACAAGCTCCTCCTGATCACCAGGAAACAGTCACGCCTCGATTGCCTTGGCTCTATCGCTACAGTCACAGGGACTACTGACTCACCTGTGGAAGAGTTCCAGTACATACGGGTATGAGACGGATTCAGCACTCTTACACATGTCATGCATTGACGTTAACTGCATTTTATTGTCACTTGTAGTTTATAGGAACAGTTCTCACAGACAAATTTTTCAAAAGCTCTCAACAGTTTGAATGTTTGCTGTCTCCTTTCTTAGGAGATCTGCTTATGTGACTCGCCGGTGGTCATGGCCCTGGTTGATGGCCCAACAGGAGAGAATGATCACATGATCTGTGTGGCCTACAGACATCAGTTTGACTTGATCAATGAGAGTACAGGAGACGCTTACAGACTACACCATGTAGACTCCAACCGGGTGAGAAACAGCCACTTGAATAAAAAAACATACACTACCATTTGTGGTCAGGAAGATTATTCTTTTTTATATAAAATATATATTTCTATTTAGCAAGGATGCACTTAATTGATCAGAGGTGACAGTAAAGATATTTATAATGTTACAAAAGATTTCTCTCAAATAAATGCTGTTCATTTGAACTATTCATCAAAGAATCCAGACAAGTCAGTTTTCACAAAAATATTAAGCAGCTCAACTGTTTTCAACATTGATATTAGCAATAAATGTTTCTTGAGCTGCACATCAGCATATTAAATTATTTCTGAAGGTTCATGTGATACTGACAACTGGAGTACTGACAGTGTTGGGGAGTAACTAGTTACATGTAATGGCGTTATGTAATTTAATTACAAAATAAATTTAACTGTAATCAGTTACAGTTACTAAGAAAAAATGTGTAATTAAATTAAAGTTCCTTATGAAAATGTTAACGATTACAAAGGGGATTACATTTAAATGTTTACACACATCCACATAGAGATTTAATTTATTTCTTTCCCAAATTGCACTGACTACTCTAGAGACATACGGCCCTATAATTTCCATGATGCGGAAAACACAGACTGGTTCATAGAATCTAGTTATAAAAATGGAATTCCTATAGCCTAACGCGGACGGAATATGCCACATTTTGGACGAATAAATCAAAAGTAGGTCAGTACACTTGAATCAAAACGCGATATGGACTAGTGTCTGTGAATATTAAGCCGCAAAAAGACAATATATGAATCCTGCAAGTTCTGCGTGTCTGTGGAAATCAGGCTGGCCATCGGGAAAACCGGGACAATTCCCAGTGGTCTGGCAGCCGATTTGGCCCGCTATTTTAATATTATTATTGTATAATTGCCTGCCGAATATACTAAAGCGATTATTTCCAAATTCGCCATTCGATAATTAAATCTCTAATAAATCATGAATCGGTTAGTCGTGACTGGCAATGCTTCAGCTCGCGCACTCTCCGCCAAACGGTTTGGATCAGAGTAATCAATGCGAGAGAGCGAATGGAGTGGACTGTGGACAGGTAGAGCAGAGAAGCAAAACTACTGTTCAGGGTTTCAAGTCCAGGTCAGTTTCATCTGTAAATATGCTATTGTAGTTTTGTTTTTGTTTACTTAGTTAAGCAGCAGCAGCCCATTGCTCATCAGTCATCACTCAAAATACTGCATAAAGGACATCATTATTATCTATTGTAATGTTACAGTAGTAATTTAGCAGACAAATAATCATATTTTATAATAGGTTTAGGGGGAGCTAGGGCAGTAAGGTTAACCCTGCATGGTGTAAATGTTTGAAAATGATTAACAGTTGCAAATAAACATTCATTAGAAATTTAGAAAAGTAATCAAAAAGTAATCAAAAGTAATCAGGTACATTACTTTAATAAAGTAATTGAAAAAGTTACACTACTATTACATTTTAAATAGGTAACTTGTAATCTGTAACCTATTACATTTCCAAAGTAACCTTCCCAACACTGAGTACTGACTACTGAAAATTCAGCTGTGCTATCAGGAATAAATTACATTTTAAAATATATTAAAATCGAAAAAACATTCAATTGTTATACTTCACAATATTACTGTTACTGTATTTTGATCAAATAAATGCAGCTTTGGTGAGCATAAGAAACCTCTTTTAAAAAATCTTACTGACCCAAACTTTTGAACAGCAGTGTACACATTCATTTACACAATATAACACGATCTAGATATCCTCCCCTTCCCTTTATCAGTTATGTACACCAAACTGTCAGTTTTTGATTGGTAACATGAGTGTCTATTACTTTTCTCCAGGTGAACTTTGTTGCTGCCATAGATGTGTATGAAGATGGAGAGGCTGGACTTCTTCTTTGCTATAACAGTTAGTGTCTATTACAGTGTCAGTGATTGCATCTGCATAGTCAGATTCTCTAAAGCTGGACTTTTCTTTTAACAGATATCTGCGTCTATAAGAAGGTGTGTCCGTTTAACGGAGCAACACCCATGATTCAGCCCAATACTTCAGACTTCCATTTCAGCTGGAACCAAATGCCAAACGCTATTGGTCAGTGCCTTTAGGATCTTGAAAATTCTTTGTTATTACTAATTTTTCTACAGTTCAACATTCGTTTTGCATTTGCATTAGTGGAAATAATTGAGATGTCTCACTATTCTGTCACTTCCTGTGTCACAGTGTGTGCGTTCCCGTATATCCTTGCATTCACTACTGACTCCATAGAGATTCGACTAGTCGTTAATGGCAACCTAGTATATACAGCTGTCGTTCCAGAATTGCAACTGACTGCGTCCAGAGTAAGTGTTCTAGCCATAAGGTTCTACCTATGAAGACCATTATATAGCGGTGTATTTATCTGGTGTAAATTAAATTTTTATTGTACAGTCTGAAACCATATTTTAAATCTTTTATTACACTTTTTTTAGATTACTTTTTAAATATTTGGGATCCGTAAGACTTTTTAATCGATAAGACTGCATTTATTTGATCGAAAATACACTAAAAACAGTAATATTATTATAATTTACAATAACTGTTTTATATTTTAATACATTTTAAAATCTAATTGATTGTCAGTGCCGATAGCCTTGTGGGCAGTGCGCCGTTGAGATACGGGCGTCCCAAGTTTGAATCCCGACTCAAGGGCAAAAAAATAAAGGCAAAAATGCCAAAAATAAATCTTAAAAAAATATAATTGATTCCTGTAATGGCAAATGTATTATCAATTTTGAAAAACTTAATATTTTTTGTGGAAGCCATTAACAATTTTTCAAATAGTTTTTTTTTTTTTTTTCAAAATTTTCTTTTGCTGACAAAAGAACAGCATTTATTTGAAATATACTTTTTTTTGCAGTTATTTAGAAGTCTTTACTGTCACTTTTGATCAATTTAATGCATCTTTTCTGAATAAAAATGTTAATTTATTTTTTTTAAATCTCACTAACCACAGACTTTTTAATGGAAGAGTACACTCTAATAAAAAAGAATTTACACAGCTTTAACACATGGAAAATTTATTAACAGCTGAAAACGTATTGATGACACTGTTGTCTCTTTTATAAGATGCATTCTTCTGTATAAATAAATAATATTTATTAAATAATAATAAATAATTCTTCTGTATAAATTATACAAATCCTTTCCAAACATTTATTAGTCATTTCACATTTCTTACAGTTTTTCTCTTGTTATTTCTTCCTCTCTTTTTTCTGTAGTCTGATATCTATTTCATCTCGTCAGCACCTATAAACTCTGCCTCCAACTGTAGCTCCAGAGACACTAGTTCCCAGAGTTCCCCTCAGACTCCAACTGGCTACGAGATGCCTGTCTTCCCTTCGCCGCTTGGAGATGGTAGGCTTCTGCTCTTGATGGAACAATTAAACTGAATTCCCATGCTATTAAACTTAATATAGGAGGTTAAACATGGGTATTTGCTTTTAGGATTTGACAGTGTCCTGCATTTCTTCTGGTAGCGAGTTTTGTATGCGAGTTGTGAGTCTGTGTATTGTCTTACGATGCATTTGTCTTTTAATCTGTGCGTGGGTTGGGTTGATATATTGCTCTTTTCCATCCCTGGTCCAGATTGTATTCGGATCCCCTACGGCACCAAGCTATCCCTCTACATGTCTAAAGACTCTGAAGGTACTGCAGGCACTTCTGTTGCCTACATTTCCCATGCTGCCTCACTAATGCACGCTACCACGGAGACTCACCCTGTCTATTATTCAATTAACAGACGCATGCAGACGGTGTTGAGTGAAATATGCAGCTAACATAATGTGTCCCTTCCTTCTTGCAGTCCCACAGAATGAATGACAGAGACAGAGAAAAAATGGTGGCTTGAGGAGTCTTTAGGAAAAAAGATGAACAGTGGAGAGAAACTGAGGTGAATGAGATAGAGAGGTGGGAGAGGAAATCAATAGACAGAGAGAGACAGATACATAGAGACAGACAGAGATGGCTGAACAGACGCTTTAGGGAAATGGGACACATTTGCTGCAGCTTGAGTTACAGATCGCTGTGTCACCATGGATACTTTTGTCAGAGCCCCTCTTCATACATACACATACACACACATGCGGTCTGGACGGCCCTCCAGAGCTTAGCACTTTTGGCTACACACAAGGCCTGAAGAGGGCCATCAAGGGGCTGTGACAAAATCCACATCCTGGTGTTTTTAAACATCCAGCCAACTGTCTGTGGCTGCCATTTTTGCACCATGGGAAATAGACGGATAACATACCATTAATCATCTCAACATAACATTCACAATACAACAAGATTGTAACACTTTACTATAAGGTTCAATTTGTTAACATTAGTTAATGCATTTGGTATCATGAACTAAAAATGAGCAGTACTTTTACAGCATTTATTAATCTGTTCTTTCTACAAATTCATTTCTAACATTTCAAGCAGTATAAAATAACATTAGTGTTTTTTCCACAAACATGAATAATTATCAATGTTACATTTATAAATTAACATTAACCTGGATTACTACATGCTGTAAATGCATGATGCATTAGCTAAATTCAGCTAATTTCACCTTATTGTCAAGTGTTACCATTTCTTGTTGTATGTTTTTATTTTCTTTCAATCTGTATAGAACAAATTTGATTATTATTATTTTACTTATACTACCATTTGGGGTTTGATAAGATTATTTAATGTTTTTGAAAAAAGTATCTTATGCTTACCAAGGATGCATTTATTTGATCAAAAATTTAATGAAAACTGTAATGTTGTGAAATGTTATTCATTTTAAATAACTGTTTTTTAATTTAATGTAAATTGCTAATTTAATGTAAACAGTTTAATGTAAAGCAGTTGCCGTCCTGTTCTGTCTAGAATAGTCTGAATATAAACACTTATTATAGTCATACCATAATGATTCAGGATAAGACAAAAACACGCTTTGGAAGACAGATTCATAATATAATTGCACATTTTGTAAATTCTGAACAAAAAAAAGTTACATAGTGTACCTTTACTTTCTTACTGACCCAAATTTAAATAAGTAGTGTGTGTGTGCGCATATATATATATATATATATATATATATATACACACACACACACAATCTATGATTGCTACAGTATCTTAAATACTGTACTGAAAACAGTATTGGCATTTTTGATTAATAAACTACACGCATGGTGATTCAGAGCAAATAATTCACACACATTTTAGTAGCAACAAACAAGAATCTTGAAAACTGTAGTCATGTTAGATAAAAGAGCAAGGATCTGGTTAGAGACATGACAGTGTCCAACAGCATACACCAGGCAAGGAAGAATGCTTCCCCTTTAAGTTAATTTAGAATAATTAGAGAGTCATAATCAAACACAGGTCTGTTTTGTTATAAATCCATGCGTGTGTCAGGAATACACTGAAAGTATTCCAAAGTCATCTTTGTACCATGGAACAGCAACTTGGGAAAGAAATATATACATACACACATTGTATTGTGTGTGTGTGTGCATATATATATATATATATATATATATATGCACACACACACACAATACAATGTGTGTATGTATATATTTCTTTCCCAAGTTGCTGTTCCATGGTACAAAGATGACTTTGGAATACTTTCAGTGTATTCCTGACACACGCATGGATTTATAACAAAACAGACCTGTGTTTGATTATGACTCTCTAATTATTCTAAATTAACTTAAAGGGGAAGCATTCTTCCTTGCCTGGTGTATGCTGTTGGACACTGTCATGTCTCTAACCAGATCCTTGCTCTTTTATCTAACATGACTACAGTTTTCAAGATTCTTGTTTGTTGCTACTAAAATGTGTGTGAATTATTTGCTCTGAATCACCATGCGTGTAGTTTATTAATCAAAAATGCCAATACTGTTTTCAGTACAGTATTTAAGATACTGTAGCAATCATAGTATCACTACCCCATATGCATATTCAATAACATGCACATATTGAACCCTCTCACCCAGATAAAAGTAGTATTTCTTAAGGTTTATGTCAATTTTTTGTTTGTTTGTTTTTTATTATTGTATTTTATTATTGTGTTGGTTCTTTATTAAAACTTTATCTGGCAGCATATATATTTTTATTGTTTGTTTGTTTTTGTTTTTTATTGAGACACCGGTGGAGTGACACTTCACATTGATATATAACTCCATTTTGGTCCAGTGGCTTTGCAGTTTCCATAATTTCCTGCTCTCGCTCTGCCCAAAATGACCAAAAAGTGATACATGGAATACTTCATTAACATAGGCAGACAGTCAGCACTGATTAAGTGGCTTCCCCTCTGCCCTTCCCATGTGGTTGCCCTAGTTTCTGAGGAACGAGTATTAGAGACTATCTATTCAAAATTATTTTAGCTATCTACATGATGTCAAGTCATTGTTTTACAAGACTGAGTCAAGAGTCAAGTTAAGTCAAGCGGATAGAAAATATGAGAGTTAACCATGATACATTTGTGGTGCTGTACATTTACCTTATAGACTTGTACTGTAAAAACATAATTTTCATGCACTAAACGAACAGTCCTAACCAATCAGACTGTTCTGGTTGTGGACCATCAAATTTCCCAAAAAATTCCATTCCTGTTCCAATTTGGTGGGCTTTATTTGGGTTGAACTTACTGTTTTACCTAATTTGGCCGAATGTTTACAACTGTTGACAAATGTAAATGTGAGATTAGGCTCAGTGCACCCAAAAAATCAACAATGTCAGTCTGTGAACTGGAGTCATCGATCAAGTCTGAGTTGAGTCACAAGTATGCAATGAAGTCTAAAAACAGACTCCAGTCTGACTCAAGTCCAAGTCATGAGTCTGAAGCCCACACTTTGGAGAGGGAAAAATATGCTATAAAAACAGACATGCTCTAACCAGACGTGATGTGATAAGTTTCCTGATCCGAGCAATTTGTCTGTCTGAACATGAAAAAGCAGTGTGACACAGTCAAAGACTATCAGAACACAGTAACAATTTGGAGTGGCATTTTGGAACACATTGGCCTGGACTACACAACACTGACACAAAAACAGAAATCAAATGGTAAGAAAACTCAAGTTAACATGGCCGAGGTGGGTACCAATGTTGCAATACTTATGGGTCTTGTATATATGAAAAAGTAGAGTAGAGTAGGGTATTAGATAACTACTTACACTACCAATCAATGGTTTAGGGTCAGATTGTTTTTTTTTTAAAGAAATTATTATTATTTCTAGCATTTCATCAAGGATGCATTTAATTGATCAAAGGTGAAAATAAAAGCATTTATAATTTGCTATTTTAAATTGTATTTTGAATAAGATTTTCATTTCAAATGAATGCTGTTCCTTTCAGCTGTATCCTTTTTTAAGAATACTGAAGAAAAAATGTATCACAGTTTCCACAAAACTATTAAGCAGCTCAACTATTTTCAACATCATAAAAAAGGAGAAGTAGTTAAATAAATGTTTCTTGAGCACCAAATCGGCATATTAGAATGATTTCTAAGGGATCAAGCAACACTGAAGAGTAATGGCTGCTAAATTTAGCTTTGTCATCACAGGAATAAACTAGATTGTAAAATATTTTCAAAATAAAGTTTTTTTTTTCTAATTGTAATATTTCCCTAATATTGCTGACTGTTTTTAAATGCAGCCTTGGTTAGCATTAAGAACTTATCAATTCAAAAACATTTTAAAAAATTAATTACTGACCCTAAACTTTTGAATGGTAGTGTATGTTTACTAAAAGACTGCATCAGAATTACATTAAACTGTGTTTTAGTTATTCCACAAATGCAGGCTTAATGTAGGCTTACCTGTGGGTAGGTACAACACAGTTGTTTTCATTTGAGCTAATTAGTCTAATTACAGTATAATGGATTCAGCAGTGACTCTGTGTGTGAGTGCATTTCTATATGTGTGTTTTAACATCATTCTGTGCAGATTAGATATTGATGTGCCTAGCAGTTCTGCACCTAGACAGACTATTAACTCTGTAGCGGTTACACCATTTATTCTAACATCTCATTCGTTCGTTTCTCTCTCTTCTTTTTTGCCCCTTTCCAACTACCCCTTTCTTTCTTCAAGGTGAAGCTCCCTCAAAACACATCTATAAGATCCCATTGAGCAACCTAGTTGGCCGGAGCATAGAGAGGCCCCTCAAGTCTCCGTTGGTCAATAAAGTGCTCACGGCACCTGCCTCCAGTGTGATCGGCCCCACTCCCATGATCGCAAGCACAACCTCCCTCTCGCTGTCTCGCATGGAGATCAAAGAGATCGCCAGCCGGACACGGAAAGAACTGCTGGGTGAGTGTCTCTGTGTTTGTGCGCTCTTGAACCGAAAGCTATCATTACGTTTGTGCGGCACAGCGGGAAGCTGGCAAGAAATGTACCAAAAGAAATCAGCCGCAGCAGGTTGGACAAGTGGTGCAGCTCAGTACCATTTATTATTAACCTTTCAATTGTGGGTGATAAATAAAAAAAACTGTAACGATACATGCGTACTTGATCTGTTGTAATGCTTGTTCTGCAGTCAAACTGAGATGAGACAGACATTTTGTATTATGAAGTGTTAGAGTGAGACATCCTGATCACACATTAGATAAACTGCTTGAATTACTAGACTGCCACACTTCACACCCTACATACACAGACACACACACACACACATGGAAGAATGGCTGAGTGGACTATTGGAAGCGCTATTGCACCTCCTGGAGGTGCAATTTAATGTAATTTTATCATTTCGGCTTACTACATTGAATTATGATCAGTATTATATGAATTTGTGTGTGTCTGAGTTTGTCTTTGTCCTCTGTACCTGTTATAGGTTTGACTGAGGAACCCAGCAGTAAGGCTGATGGTAACTCAGTGAAACAGAGAAAAATTAGCAAGAAAACCAAGGAGGAAGAACAGAGAACAGCAGAGATAAGCACCACTGAGCAGTAAGTGTGTGTGTGTGTGTGTGTGTGTGTGTTTTGGTTGGGTGGTAGGGCTGGGCAATACATATTGAATATTCATGATAAATTCAGAGTTGGTAAGTTCGATTCATTTTCTTAAATCAGTCATTTTCATAAACCGTTTCAATTAATTGGTTCAAAACTCAATTATGTCAAGTTTTTTTTTTTAATGAATCTGTTGAATGTTTTGTCAATTAAATTTTTTTCCCATAAAAATCATGTACTAAAATATTACATTACTAATAAACAGTAATATTTTTACAAGTTTTTAAAAACAACAACAAAAAAATCTCCTTAGTCCATTTAGCCCATGCTTTAATAATTTCAAGACTTTTGCAGCTTTTTACAGTTACTGAAAGAAAAAAAGATATAGACCTACACAATATACAAAAGGTTTGGGGTCATTGTTTGATAAAAATACAGTAATAAAATATTATTACAAACTAAAATATATTTTAAAATGTACTTTATTCTTGATGGCAAAGCTGAATTTTTAGCATTATTACTTCAGTCTTCAGTGTCACATGATCCTTCAGAAATCATTATAATGTGCTGATTTGGTGCTCAAGAAACATTTTTAATTATTATTCATGTTAAAACTGTGATACATTTTTTCAGCATTCTTTGATGAATAGAAAGTTAAAAAGAACAACATTTATTTAAAATTCAAAATAAATAGTATTATTTAATCATAATTTATAATTTTATAATAATATTATAAATGTCTTTACTATTCTGTTTGATCAATTTAATGTGTCCTTTCTCAATAAAAAGCTATTTCTTAAAAAAAAACAACCCAAGCTTTTGAACAGCAGTGTGTTAAGTAGACTGAAAATATCAAGCTATAATGTTTAAAGCTATATGTCGCCCAGTCCTAGCAAGTGAAAGGTTATTTCTGCATGTTAGACACAAGTATACCAGTGATGTATACTGACTATAAGATATCTCCAATCAATCAGAGTGGGAATGGAGTCTGTAGATGCAGAAACTGATGTCCATCGGCTTTGCTCATCTGGCTCTGAGGTGGAGCCACAAGATGATAGCCCTCCCACGGCCAGCCCTTTTACCTTCTCCACATCTTTTGAGGAGGATATTCTGGACCTTAAGTGATGACAATCACAGTCTGTGGATCAAAGTGCACCTCTCACCTTACACATCCTACTACCTTTTACTTTATATCATTCTTATTTGCCATGTTACGTTGCATTTTGTGTTTTCCTCAGTCTGCCCACTCATCTGTGTGCACAAATGAATCCCCAGAGCTTTAAACTTGAAGGAGTTTACAGTGTGGTGATGTCAAAATTTACTCCTGGTGGATGTATGCATGCGTGCGTGTGTGTATGATCCTGTGTTTACTGTATAAGATAGAAATACAACTAGAAAATTTAGATTCTCAGCTATTATTTCAGAATTCTTTTTAAAGAAAAATGAAAAAAACGACCAAAAATGTTAAAAAAAAAAAAAATGAAAAAAATAGAATCTGAGTTAGTCAAGGTTTGATTTAGTTTCTATGATTGATGAGACACATTCTCCATCAGCTTTTGGACAAATGTGTAGCTTTGTAGCAAACTTGTAGCCATATGAACAGAAATAAGAAATGTAAAAACAAAAATGGCTTGAAAGCTTTGAGCCACAATTTAAGGTCAAGGCAAATATTACTTTTCACTCCAAGACCTGAATGTAAGATTGACACTCTTAAAAACAATGAAACATTTTTTAATTTGGTGTTTTTAAATGTTTTCTATGTCTGTGATTTGTACATTGTGTGATTATTTCAAAGTTGTAAAAAACTCTATATGCATCTCGGACCAGATGCACATGAACATACAAATGTAAACATACATACATATAAATATATACATTTCTAGTTCTATTGTATTATAGAGAAATAAAACTCACTTCTTGTGTATATCAGTGTTATGGTCTAACCTGCCTTCACCCTCACCGTGCTTTTAAACCCTGACATGCAAACCCTCTGCAGAAAGGGCAGGAGTCTCCCACAAGTGCCATTTTCTACTGCAGCCGTCAAGCACTAGCGCCCTCTATCAGACTGACCATGGATTGCATGTCATGAGGCGGAAGCAAACAAAAACCATTACAGAACACAGTTTGGTCACTACATCTAGTAAATGTGCAGCTGTTTACTATGCTAACAGTTTGCGCTTTGATCCATGAACATCCTTTACAGGCGCACAGAGTCAAACGCAGTCTTTATATGCTGTTGCTTCTTGAAACGGGCTCTGGATCACCTGCATGCCTCCATTCAAACCCACTATAAAATAAAAAGGGATTTGATGTATTAATGGTTTAGAATTAGGATGTATTTACTCTTCTCATGGATTTGGTACAAATAAAAAAAAAACTGAATTAAAGCCAGGGTTACTTAGATTATATCTCTGACTCTAGGTTATACAGCCAAAAAAAAAAATCTTCACCAATATCTTTGTCTTGTTTTCTAGTAGAATCTAAACATCTTAAAACAAGATGAATTTATGTGAGAAGCAAAGCGATATTAAGACTTTTTCCATTTTTTTGGCCCATTTTTTTCTAGATTTAGGAATAAATATTCTTAGATTATTTAAAGATGTTTAGATATTTTAACTGGAAAACAACACATAAATACCGAATAAAACGAGAACGAGAATATTGATTCTGCTGTTTACAGTTCCAACTCAGATTTTAAAGAATGTCATCAAAGTGACAACAGAACACAAGAGCCTCAGGAACAGCACAAGAGGAGGTGTAAGTATTAAACTGCTTAGCTGAATGCATGACCCCTCACTCTCAACCTTTGTCCATCTGAACGTGAACCATTTAACACTAGTAGCAGACTGGACTAAAACGGGAAAACTTGGGAATGTTTTTGTAAATGAAGAGTTTTACATATCATTTATTTGCTATTTTGTTGTCTTTGAAGGGAATGGGTGAGCCAGAGACTGATGGAATATATTTTTCAGGGTTTTTTTTCCTTTGGCATATTGTCCGTTGTCTTGCCCCTCCTTCTGTTCACTCCCCTAACTGTTTTCACAGTGGTTTTGTATCTATATCGATATTAACTGTTTAGACTGTTGCAGAAACTCTGTGATATCAGAAATTAAACAAACATGAATTTAAAAAAACACCAAGTGTCTTAAAATATTGTATTGCCATTGTTTTTAATGCCAAGTACTACTTGTAAATGTTAGTGTTTCAGATGTGGCCTCAAAAATATTACTACTATTATTATAGCATTTATTTGAAAAAGTGCTGTAGCCCACTGCTGTAGTTATTGTTCATCGATATGAAATAAATATTTATGAAATTTGACCATGTAGTTTGTGTTTTAACGAGTGTAAGTATACTACACACATGCTTTAACATTTATAGCATATATTGATATCTATGATTATTAACTAGTGATATGTGGTCTCCCAATGCTGAAGGGTTTTTCGAGACAGCAACAGAGTCTGCAGAGAGTCAGCAAACTGCTGTCAACATGAAAGGACAGTGATGTTAATAGTCATAAAAACCTCAGTGACATTGTATGAACCATCACTAAATAGAGTAATGTAATGCAAATTGAGTATTGTTTCCGCAAAGTGCTTAAAAGGTCTCGAAATCAAATCTCGAGCTCGGAGAAATTTAGTTTTTAATAAGTAATTTCTGGCTTTCAGCAGCCCAAACAGCCTTTACCATTGATAGACAGACCAAAATCAACAGAAGTGAGAGGGATGCTTAAGTTAATAAAATGGAGCTACTTTGGAAGAACTTACCCGTAGGCCTAGTTCGTTTTCAATGTGAAAGTGCAAACCTCGCCGACAATTCCGTAGAGAAATATGGTGCGTTCAAGTCATGTCGGATAGATCGTATTTACGAGTTGAACGTACATGAACGCCACCACAACGTCGTTATTACGAGTCGAAATTTTCTTTAAGCCGTGAGTGTGTTAGTTGGGGGCGTGTCAGAAACATGGCGGAATCGATGGATACAACGTCTGTAGTTGACGGTAAATTTTTGTTATAGTTTAGTTGTCCTATAAAGATTGCCAAAGTAAAATATAAATCACAATACTTATAGGTATTAAGCAGTGACATTGTCAGGCTTTTTATTTACAAAAAAATAAGCCTTTTCAATGTGGCAGGATTGTAATGTAACAATTAATAACAAGTTTTTATGCGATACAGATTAAAGTGGCTTCATAAATTACTTTTTAAAAATATTAAAAACGCAAAACACACTTGATGCGAATTCTTTGCTCTTCATTTTCTATAAGCAGAGTTAACAGACCCTGTTGTATTTTCTTGTAATTTATTAAAAGAAGGTACACGACTACACTGACTTGAACGCACCTGACCTAGTAATTACGACTTGTCAACTCGTAAGTACGAACGTCCCAGGAGGACTTGAACGCAGCA